TCTCCGCCTCCTCCTCCTCCTCATCCTCTTCCTCCTCAACCTGGTCATCCCATCTCCGAACCACCTCCGTTATTGGACCTCCAACTCGTCCTCCTCCTCCTCCTCCTCCTTCCCCTCCTCCTCCTCCTCCTCCTCCTCCTCCTCCTCCTCCTCCTCCTCCTCCTCCTCCTCCTCCTCCCTCCTCCTCCTCCTCCTCCTCCTCCTCCTCCTCCTCCTGTTCCTCCTTCTCCTCCTTCTCCTCCTCCAGATCATCATCATCATCATCATCATCATCATCATCATCATCATCATCATCCTCATCATCCTGATCATCATCATCATCATCATCAGCAGCAGCAGCATCACCATCAGCATCACCATCATCATCATCATCATCATCATCATCATCATCATCATCATCATGACCACAATCATCAGCATCATCATAATCATGATCATCATCATCATCATCATCATCATCATCCTCATCATCATCGTCATCAACATCATCATTAGCATCAGCATCATCCTCATCAGCAGCAGCATCATCAGCATCATCACCATCATCAGCAGCATCATCATCTTGTCATTATTATTCCTCGTCATCATTTCAGCGTCTTCATCATCATCATCATCATCATCATCATCATCATCAGTATCAGCATCATCATCCTCAGCATCAACATGATCATCATAATCATCACCATCACAATCATCATTATTATCATCATCGTCAGCAGCATCACCTTCATCACCATCATCATCATCATCAGCAACAGCATCAGCATCAGCATCAGCATCATCATACTCAAAATCAGCAGCATCATCACCGTCATCAGCAGCAACATCGTCAGCATTATCAGCATGATCATCATCAGCATCAGCATCAGTATCATCATCAGAATCAGCATGATCATCATCATGAACATCATCATCGACAGCATCAGCATCGTCATCATCAGCAGCATCATCATCGTAATCATCATCATCATCATCATCATCATCAGCGTCGTCATCTTCATCAGCATCATCAGCAGCAGCATCATCAGCATCGTCATCAGCAGCATCATCGTCATCACCAACATAGTCATAATCATCATAAACATCAACAGCATCAGCATCCGCATCATCATCATCAGCAACATCATCATCATTATCATAAACAGCGTCATCATCATCAGCAGCATCATCATCATCATGATCATAATCATTATCAGCATCGTCCTGCTCCTCATCATTATCAGCAGCGTCATCAGCATCATCTTCAGCAGCATCATCATCGTCATTATCATCATCGTCATCATCATCGTAGTCATAGCCATCCTCATCATCATAATCATCATCGTCGTCATCATCATCATCCTCATCCTCATCATCATCAGCATCATCAGTATCATCATCAGGATTATCAGCATCGTCAGCATCAGCATCATCATCACCACCACCACCATCAGCGACCGCAGCAGCATCAGCATCAGCATCAGCATCAGTACCAGCAGAATCATGATCGTCAGCATCATCATCATCATCATCATCACCATCACCATCATCATCATTGCCATCGTCATCGCCATCGTCATCGTCATCAGCATCATTATCGTCATCAGCATCGTCATCGTCATATCAGCTTACGCAGCATCGTCATGTGCAGCATAATCATCATCATCGTCATCATCATCATCATCATCATCAGCATCAGCATCATCATTATCACTAGCAGCAGCTGCAACCTCATCATCATCATCATCAACAACAATATCATTGACACCATCGTCATATTCTGAGTCATCCTCATTATCATCAGCAGCATCATCATCATCATCTGTATCATTATCATTAGCAGTATCGTCATCGTCATCAGTTGCCATCGCCGTGAGTATCATCATCATCAGCACCATCATCATCGTCAGCATCATCATCCTCACCAATAACAACAACATGGGCATCATCGTCAGCATCATCATCGTCGTCATCATCATTAGCATCATCATCGTCGTCATCAACATCAGCAGCATCATCAGCATAACCGCAATCATCGTCGTCGTCAACATCGTCATCCTCATCAACAACATCGCCATCGTCATCAGCATAATCATCATCATCCTCTTCATCATCATCAGCAGCAACATCATCACCCTTCTGTGATCATTAATCGTATTCCTCCCTCCTTCCCTCCCTCTCCTCATCCTTCTCCTCAGTCTCACGCACCCTCCTCCTCCTTCTTCTCCTCCTCGTGCTCCTCGTCCTCCTCATTCTCCTCCTCCTCCTTCTACTCCTACTGCTCCGCCTCCCTTGTTGGGGCCTCCTGGGCCTCTGGGGTCTGGAGGCCTCCCTGGACCTCTGGAAACCTCGGGACCCCAAAGGCGCATCCTTGCGCTCCTCCTCCAGAACCCGTAAGAGAGGTGCCAGCCTGCAGAGTCCAGGCTTCGTCCTCCTCCTCGGGCACATTCTCTGGTCAGCAATGGACCATCCACCCGTGCATGTCAGATCCGTCCGACACTTCATACAGTTGCGAGCAAGCGAACACTTGAAGATATCATCAACCTGACCCTCGGAGCACTTCGGCATTCTACGGCCCTCCTCCTCCTCCTCCTCTTCCTACTCCTCCTCCTCCTACTGCTTGTCATCATCATCATCATCATCAGCAGCAGCAGCATCATCATCATCATCAGCAGCATCAGCATCAGCATCAGCATCAGCATCAACATCATCATCATCATCATCATCATCATCAACATCATCGTAATCGTCAGCATCATAATCCGCACCAGTAACAATTACATCAGCGTCATCAGCAGCATCAGCATCATCATATCAGATGTAACAGCATCCTCATCAGCATCATCGCCATCAGCATGATCACCATCAACATCATCAACGTCATCAGCATCAGCATCATCATGCGAATCAACACAACCATCACCATCATCATCACCAACAGCAACGGCAAAAAAACATGAACAACAGCAGCAACAACAATAATGATAGCAATACTAACTGCTTTGATGAAAGTAGTAGTAAGAATGTGAACACGGATAACAAAACTAATGACAACGATACGATTAATAACATCGACAACAACAGCAAGACCAACAGTAGCAGCAGCGGCAACAGCAGAAACAACAACTGTCAGTTTAAGACTGTTCGCTCCCAGCTGCTCGCGTGCCATTGAACACGTGTATCCCGAACCCTCGGTACCCGCCCTCTTCGTATTCGATCGTTCCCCCTTTGAGTATACTTCCTTACCTGCCACGGGGATTTAGAGCAGCCCCTAAAACAGAGGAAGAGAGGACGGATGCAAGGGGGAGGAAAAAGAATGGAGCACGAGAGAAACTAGCAAGAGGGGGGCTAGGAGCAGAAAACACGTGGCAGAACCAAACGGGCAGATCGGGCGGGCAGACCCTAGCGGGCAAGTCGGGAAGGCGGGCCCAAGCGGCAGGCCGAGCATGCGGGTTGCTGAAGCGTGAGTCCTGCATGAACCGCAGGGACGTCACGAGCGACGGCGCGATTCCCAAGTAAATCGTTCGATTGGCCACAGCGAGAGCGTAATTCCTAAGTGTCGAGGGCACGGCATTTTTTCAAATTGCGAGGAGGTCCCACGCGGGAGCACGATTCCTGCATAAATTGTGAAGAAGTACCGCGCGATAGCGCGATGTTGGAATGATTTGCGACGGAATATCAGGCGGAAGCCGTTGTTGTTGCAGCTGTGGGGGGCAACAACACAGTTTGAGCACGAGTATTTTCCCTGATGAAAACAGGGTGCGAGCCCCGATAGGGGCACTTCAACAAAAAAGCACAATGTGCACTGGTAGGGGGGATCACAAATGATTGCGACTCAAAACTGAAAGCTCAACATCAACATCAACATTAAGAACAACGACAACACAAACAACAACAGCAACGACGACAACAACAATAGCAACAACAAGAAGCAGCAGCCGCAGCATTAGCAGTCGCAACCACAACCGCAACAACAACAACAACAACAACAGTCACAACAACAACCGTAGCAGTAGCAACAGCAGAAACAATAATAACTACAACAACGACAACAACAGCAACAACAAACACAGCAACAACAAAACAATAACAACAACAACAACAACAACAACAACAACAACAACAACAACAACAACAAGAACAATAACAATAACAAGAACAACAATAACGCCACCAACAACAACAACCACCACGACCACCACCACCACCACAACAACAGCAACAACAACAATAACAATCATTTTACCCGAACGCTCAGTGTTCTCACCAGTGCCAGGGTTTTCATGCGACGCGAGACAATACCCCCACTTCGTGGGGGGGCAGTTCAAGCTCTACCAAATATCCAAACGACTCTTCGCGACCACCCAAACCCAGCTTCCCGCCCTATGACGTTGGGACACTTCACTTCGTGGCGTGCGGACGACCGTGGCTACTACACTGGCGTGGGGTACACACCCACAGAA